GTTCGGCTAGTTTCATGATGGTTGGTTTTGGTGTTTCCGTCTTCTGGATGAAACTTTCCCTTCATTGCTGCGCGCGGTGTGACCCACTGGTCACTAAGAGTGATCCGTTAGTCATAGCTGGTGTTTCTTTCTTGGCAGGGGGGGTTTCCCTGGGCAGTGCGGTGTGATCTACTGGTCACGGGGTTTCCCTGTGCGGTTCGTTTGGTTGGTTGGCCTTGCCAACCTCCAATTCCTTCTGGTAGCGTGTTTGTGCTTTCCAGCTTGGGGATGTTGCAGGGATACTCTGCATGAGGATATGAGGGAACCACTCCTCACCCCAATCCCCTTCCAGCTGAACATGTTGTTCCTTGAGTTCAGGTGGTATCTTTTGTTCTGAACAGGTGCTCTTTGCTCAGGAGCCGCAACCTTGCTTGCGCCCTGCCCACCCGCCCCAGATGGGTGCTTTGGTGAAACGCGCGAAGCTTTAGGAATCGATCGCGCCATCCCAATGGATGGTTGTCTAGGGGGCCAGGGTTGGTGCTAGGTCTGAGGTGCTCCCAGCCTGGCGCCACCCCTTGGAGTTGTCGCCAAAAGCCGTGCGCGCTGTTTTGGGGAAGAGAGGGTTTTGGGCTATAGGAGTGATCTGTTTGTGGCCTGAGTTCTGTTGCACCTTGAGATTAGTGGGGAAACAAGTAGTGTCGATTGCTGTGTCCGGTATTTGTCAGCTTTAAGCTGATGTGGATTTGTCAGCCTTGATTGAGCTGATGTCAGTTCCTTCATGTCAGCTGAGCTGATGACTATGCTGGGTCCCAAAGCTGCGATTGACGGTAGGATCACATTTTGGGAAGGGTCTAAGAATCCGTACTGCCCGCAGCAAAGGCAAATACCCAACCGCGCGATACCTGGGTTGGCAGGGTTGCTAGCCTTGATGTGTCTTTCTTGCAAGAGGTGGTTTGGGTTTGGTCTTCCCAAGTTGTTTTCTTGGATGGCTTGCGCGCTAAACTCAGAGCGAGCTGGGGCGCGAGCAAGCTTGTCTGTGTATAATTACAATGTGGCGCGGCGTCATGTGGATGCTTGCATTCCGTGCGCTGGTTTTTGGTTCGGCCTTGACTTCTGGAGCTGCCGGGAAAAGGCTGAAACGTGCGTCGCGTGGGCAATTTGGAGGGTGTGTGCAGAGTGTGCAGGCCAGGTGCAGATGCAGGGGGCGCTGACGCTTACCAACGTGTTGACATCAGTTTGGAAGAAGGTGGGGGTACGTCGCTGCGATTCCTTTGTATTTGCGTGTGTTGCCCAGGCCCAGAGAGCTTTATTCAGGCAGAGAAGCTGTGGCAGGAAAGCAAGGCGGGCAACGCTTGGCATTTGGCAAGCTGGCGTAGCACCGAGAAGAGCCAGTGAAGAGAGGAGTGAAGTCCCTTTCTACTCAGCTTACTGATTGGGAAGGAAGCGGCTGATTGTTAGAAAATCGCATCATCACTCGTAAGTGTTTGGGTACATTGCATTGGTAGTTGATTACCGTGCCCCTCGTTTGCATTTCTTTGCATTTGAATATATTGATGACGCCTCAAAATGTTCCAAAACACAAAGGTCTGCCAACGTTGCACGCTCCCAAAAGCGAGGCTGACCTGGAGTTTGCCGCTTCCGCAGCCGAGAAGCAAACGCGCCTCAAGCAGAAGATGTCAGAGCTGCTGGCAGATTCCCGAGCCCTCCGGTAGTTGGACTTTACGCGTAGTCTTAGTGTCTTGGTGCGTGTTTTGTTGATAATGTTGGCAGGCAGAAGGCTCGCGGGTTGGAGAAGGCCTTGGGCAGCACGCCCACACTGTAGTGCAATCGGCAGCCTTTGCCACGAGAGCCGGCCAATGCCTGCGCGTACGGATGGATACGTCTCCAGCCCCCCCCCGCCTGGGTTCGGGTCCTTTCAAAACATATTGAGATGCAGATTTGTAGGGTCGGATCCCTCGTTCTGTTGTACTGCAGGGGGCCGTTGCAGGGCCAATCGCCCCCAAACCCAAACGCTTGATTCATTTGATGTCCTGTATTGGTGTTCTTGGTTGGTTGGGTTAGGCAGGAACACCTGCTATCTGGCCTTGTGTTCAGTTAGAACAGCTTCCTGGTTTGGGAGCGGACTTGTCACCGTGAGCTAGGAGGTCTGCGTGGATGGCTGTGGATATTGCCCCCTGGGCAAGTTAGCGGATCTTGAGTGCCAAAAGGGGGGTTGAGGTGATGGCAGGAGTTCCTCCCCAATTGAGAAATCTTATGGGGTGGACGCAAGCGTCCCACGAAAGGGATTTGTAGGCAACGGCTAGTAGTTAGTTTAAGAGTGAATTGGATAGGAACCAGCGCCTTCCTCACCGGTATTCGTCTCCAGGTAAGTCGGTTGTCAGAGGGTTGCCTTGGCGCTGGTGTGAGCCTGCGCCAAGGCTGTTTTTCTATGGCGTTGGTCTGGACGTATTCTTTTAAAATCCCACCTCCGCATGGGGGATGGTTTCTCGTTGCGGCCTTGTAACTTGTTGACCAAGGGCTAGTCTTGTTTTCCTTGGTTGATTAGTTTGTTTGGCGTGGGGTGGATTGTCTGTGCCGGTTTGGAGCCGCAGGTCTTCCCACTCCAAAGGGTCAGAAGAACAGAAAGAACAGGGAGAGCTAGAGCTGAAGGGCCAACCTGGTGGGAGCCTTTGTGCCGAAACATGTTTGGACCCCCTTTCTTTTGAATAGGGAGACTTGCTCGGGAAGTGTTGCTCGTTCTTTCGGATGAGGATTGTGAGGCTTGTGCTGGTTTCCTTTCTTTCAAGTTGCTGGCAAATCTCGGTGCTTTATTGAGGGTACCATGTGTTGAGAACGGTCTCTAGGCTCGAAGATGGGTGGGCCAGGGTGTAGTGTCACCTGCTTGGTTAAGGATTCTTTTGCGCTTCCCGTGTCCTTGTCCTTTCCTTTCGGATTTGGTCTAAGCGTGTTTGGGCTTGAGATTGTGCTCCCCTTTAATTTGGTTCATAGGGGAACCTCATAGCCATGATGGCTTAGACGCTTGAATTGGCGCTTTGCTTGCGCTAGTCTTGACCGCAGTGAATTGATCTGCTGTGGCTGGTGTCCAGTCTTTGCACTGCGGTTGCTTGACCTTTGTTCTGCCCGCCTCCCTAACACTGGGGGGTATTGTCGCCCTCCAGCGCTGCGCGTTCTACCTTGGCCTTGTTGGAGATCTGTGCAAACCCCACCCACGCTCTCCCAAATCCTCCGTGGGCCTTTTCCCCCCAAGATCGCCAGTCTCAGACTGAGAAAGGAAAGGCGCGCTTCGTGGACGGGGTGTGGAGTGACACTGGGCTCTGCTGTCTGCTGCTGGTACCTTCACCAATTCTCAGGGGCCCTTGGTTGGCGGTTGACTTGAGTGAATCTGGGTCCTCAAGCTACTTCCTTTCCTCTCTTGCGCAGGTGGTCGACCTGAGTACAAGCAATAATATGCTGTATTGTAGGCGCCTGTGTTGAGAACGGTCCTGTGTTTGGACGGGGTTTAGTGTCGCCTGTTTTGTCCTTTGGTAGGTTGCTGAACCTGTGGGCCTTTGGGCTCTGACTTCGGTCCTTTGTTCTTCTTGTTAGGGCTCAGGTTTGTGCCCCTACTCTTATTTTAATAAGGGATTTGATGCCTTTTTGGTCATGCACCTTGTTATGGTCAGCTTGCGTGACCTGCTTTTTCCCCGTTGCGGCGCTGCGGTTGTTGGAGTTTTGCCCCGCGCCTCGCTAACACTATAAGGTGTTATTGCGGCCACGTTGGTGATCTGCGTAACACAGATCCGTGGGCCTCATACCACCAGCTTGCCAGTCCATGATTGAGAGAAAAAGGAGCGTGGGTTGGAGAGTGGTTGGGAGGAGAGGTTGTGTGCATACTTTTGGACGCTAGCCCTAACACTCACCCTTCTGGTTCTAGTTTTCATGCAGCTGAGCCTTGCTTGCGGTTGTGAAGTGGCAGTGCGCCCGTTGCAGACATTGGTTGGGTGGGGTCACTAGAACTAGGGGTTGAGTGTTCGCTTATAGTTCGCTTCATTCCACCTTGTCATCGTATTGGGGAAGACTAAGCCGCCAGTGGGCATCCTTTCTTTTTCAGGTGGTCTACCAGGTTGCCTCTAAAATAGAAGGCTTGACCAGCCCAAGCTGTGCGTAAGCTGGACTTTCTCGGGTCTGACAAGCGTGAATCGCAAGAGGAAGGGCTCGGTCATTGGCGTGACTTGCTGGTTGCGACTGCGAGCTGTCGGCGCTCATGTTCTTCTGGTGGTGCGCGCTCGTCGCCCCGTGGATGTGCCGGGCGCTGCGACGTGGCAAGAAGGGGAAAAACGCACAAACCGCAAACCCAAACTTCTCAGCTTGCGCGCTGTCAGGTGCAGGCGGGGGAAAGCCGTTGGATGAGCTTGGGGCCATCCTCGCTGAGTCGCCTGTGGACCCAATTGCAGCGACGCCAGGATTGAAATTAGTGTACTAGTGTACGGGCACTTTGCAGCTCAGAGACGTTTGCGGCAGACGAATTGCGTGAAGTTTGGCACGGATTGAAACTAGTGCGTTCCGTTCCCTGTGCGACAAAGAAACATATATTATTTTGCGACGCAGATGCCGGGGCCTGTGAAGAGAGCTCTGGCAGCCCCAGTGCTCGCTCAAGAGTGTGATGAGGAAACTGAAGCGTCATGCCCAGTGGACCGCTGCATATGAGCTTTGGAACGGCGCCCTCGGGTGAGCGTTGTGGTTGATAGGGTTTCATTGCGATTGCCGATGACGCTGCTTGTTACCCCAAAGCAACCTACACAGGCGTGCGGTCTGAAGGTAAGGTGCAGCAGAGATTGATGTGGTGGAAGGCCCTTGCGCTGGTAGAGTGCAATTTCGCAACATGTCTACTCTTGCGCGCCAACGGTGGGCCAGAAACTGTGGTACAACGTGGCCGTGTCGCAGCTGCGCAAGGTTTGTTTTAGCTTATACACTCCTCGCAGGCAAGGAGTGCAATATTTGTCAGTTCTGTCAGGGACTACTCAGCAAACCCCTGTCCGCAGGGCTTTGACTTGGTCGCAGAAAATGAATGGCTCTGTCAGCCAGCGTCTGAAGACTACGAGGGCCCTTGCCAAGGCCCAGTCACCTTTGACAACTTCAACGTGGACATGTTGGAAGAATGGTCGCTGCGTTGCCAAGCGCGCTGGCCCTGCTTGGGCGTGACGTCTGCGGACATTGAGCGGGAATTAGACGCTGTAGCTGCTCCTTTGTCCTTTCTGGCCAGCGCCAGGCGTGTGGCTGCGACCTAAACGCGCGGTTCTGTTGCCATGGATGCCCAGGACGCATCGCTGTGAAGTTTGAGGAGCGCGCGTGAAATCGGAGACCTACGGACAAAGGCTTTGGGGCAACGTGTTTCGCAGCTTTGGTTTGACGCAGGGCGCATTTGGCAATCAAGTTGCAGTTGATCAACTTGATTGTTCCCATTATAGGTAGATATATTTTGAGGCAGAAGCGTGAAAATGGGGTTGGCACCCTGATTCTATTTTTAGTAGGCTGGTTTAGAATTAGTCATGTTTGAGATGTTGTGTATTGCGACGTGCCTGGGGATGACACTTCTTGCGGTGTCTCAAAATGGACCAGTGGCTGCGCCAAGTTGAGAAATGAAAAGCGTGGGAAGGATGATTGAGCAGGAGTTTGAACCCTCCAAATCACTTGTAGAAATCCAGATGTTGAAATGAAAGGAGCCATGCCAACATTTTGCTTCCTAAAGAGGTTAGTAATGGATGGCCTGTGCCGATTATATTTTTGGGAACTTGTATGCAGTGATTCCACTGTGTGCTTGACACAGATTTTCTCTAGTTAGACTTCCCCAAATAACGAAGCAGAGGTGGTTCCCGCAAGCTTGCCATCAAAATGTTGAGTCAAACCTTGTAACCTTTCGAATTCAGATGCATTCATCCAATGCGTTCTTGAATCAGTTCAAAGCCCAACAAATCATCCATGCTCATCTCAGCACATCTCAAAGCCTTGGCTACCCTCGAGCGTTTTCTAAGTCGTGGCCTTACCCGATCAAATTTTCTACGTTGGCTACCGCTGATCTATTTTGAGAGCTAATTCCCGAATGCGTAGCGAAGGGTTCTCGTTTAACTCTGGGGTCTGAGGGTAGAGCCTTGTGTGCGACGCGTTGTCTCAGTGTTCGCAACCGTTGTCAACCATCCGCAACCGATCGCGACCGTTCGCCGCCGACCGCAGTAGGACGCTAAGGCCGCTGCCGTTGGGGGAAGGGAGTTTGGCACGGAAGCGTGATGTGTCAGATTCGTGTGAAATAGCGAGGAAACGCGTGGAAACGTAAGATGTTGAAGTGTGGAGGATATGTTCACTGCGCAGGCGCAGCATTTTGTGAGATCGGATTTTCTGCGCAGTCACATTGGGATTGGCGTTTGGAGAGTGGTGTTTTTGGGGTGTTGACCGAGTGTAGTGACTGGGAAGGAGGCCGTTTGGGACGGGGTCCGGATCATGGGTGCTGCTCAGCATTGGAGCCACCGTGTGTTTGGGTCGTCGAACGTTTGATGCTTGTGCTGATGTTCTTTGGGTTGTTGCCTTGCGCTGTCACCCTTGCTGTTACCAATAAAATACAGAGCAGGCGAGCCGACCTTGCTTTGCAAGATGTAGGGACAAGCCATCCGTGCAGGACTCTGCCAACAGGCTTCCCTTTTCCCCTCCCTCTTCCTTAGCTGTTCCACAGCTCAGGGGGGGGGGGGGGAAATAGCTATGGCGCAACACCAAATTTTAAGCCAGGGAGCAGCCGCTCCTGACACCAAGCAAGCTGCTCCAACTAAACAAAACATATATATTTCGACCCGTTCTGGGCACACTCCCATCCACCAAAATCGCCATTTCAGCTGAGACTTGTCACGTCGCGAAAACAAAGCTTCGATGCAACACCCTGAAACGCCACTTCCGGCTTTCTTTTTCTCAGTCAAAGACTGGAAGATATGGGGGGAACACGCCGGGTGATCTGTTCCACAGACCACCATGGCCTGATCTGTTCCACAGACCACCATGGCCCAAGCATGCCTAACATGATGGGGACCATAAACACCCCCCCGGTTTAGGGAGGAGGGCGGGCCAAAAACCAATCAACCGCAGTGCCATGAACTGACAAACAGTTCACCTCACATCTGAGCACACTATGGCTAACTAACACCAGGTCAACATGACCCCAGGGTTTAAACAACCCAGGGGGAAACCCAACCTGCCCCAGGTAAGAGGACCTACAGGCCCCCCAAGCCTAAGCAGCTGACGCTAAACCCTACCCGAACATCATCAGGCCACGGGACCGCTCTCACCCTGAGCGTCTTCAATAATGCAACATCAAGGCAACAACCCAAAGAACGTCAGCACAAGCGTCAAACGTTCGACGACCCAAACACACGGTGGCTCCAATGCTGAGCAGCACCCATGATCCGGACCCCGTCCCAAGCGGCCTCCTTCCCAGTCACTACACTCGGTCGGCTTTCTTTTTCTCAGTCAAAGACTGGAAGATATGGGGGGAACACGCCAGGTGATCTGTTCCACAGACCACCATGGCCTGATCTGTTCCACAGACCACCATGGCCCAAGCATGCCTAACATGATGGGGACCACAAACACCCCCCGGTTTAGGGAGGAGGGCGGGTCAAAAACCAATCAAGCTTACCTCAACTTGTTTGATGTTGCATTATTGAAGACGCTCAGGGTGAGAGCGGTCCCGTGGCCTGATGATGTTCGGGTAGGGTTTAGCGTCAGCTGCTTAGGCTCGGGGGGCCTGTAGGTCCTCTTGCCTGGGTCTGGTTGGGTTCCCCTCTGTTTGGGTTGCTTAAACCCTGGGGTTCTGTTGACCTGGTGTCCTGGGTCAGGTTGGTTTTCCCTCTGTTTGGGTTGCTCAAACCCTAGGGTCATGTTGACCTAGTGCCAGTTAGCCGCAGTGTGCTCAGATGTGAGGTGAGCTGTTTGTCAGTTCATGGCACTGCGGTTGATTGGTTTTTGACCCGCCCTCCTCCCTAAGCCGGGGGGGTGTTTATGGTCCCCATCATGTTAGGCATGCTTGGGCCATGGTGGTCTGTGGAACAGATCAGGCCATGGTGGTCTGTGGAACAGATCACCTGGCGTGTTCCCCCCATATCTTCCAGTCTTTGACTGAGAAAAAGAAAGCCGACCGAGTGGAGTGACTGGGAAGGAGGCCGCTTGGGACGGGGTCCGGATCATGGGTGCTGCCCAGCACTGGAGCCACCGTGTGTTTGGGTCCTCGAACGTTTGAAGCTTGTGCTGATGTTCTTTGGTCTGTTGCCTTGTGCTGGCAGGTGCTCACCCTTGCTGTTACCAATAACCGCAGCGCCATGAACTGACAAACAGCTCACCTCACATCTGAGCACACTGCGGCTAACTAACACCAGGTCAACATGACCCCAGGGTTTAAGCAACCCAATCAGAGGGAAACCCAACCTGACCCAGGTAAGAGGACCTACAGGCCCCCCAAGCCTAAGCAGCTGACGCTAAACCCTACCCGAACATCATCAGGCCACGGGACCGCTCTCACCCTGAGCGTCTTCAATAATGCAACATCAAACAAGTTGAGGTAAGCTTAGTTCCCAGCTTGATAGGATGGGTGAGAGGTTGCATTTTTGGCGCTTCCCTGCTTCAGTCAGTGGCCTAGGTTCTGTTAGACTTTGGCAAGTGGATTGCTTACTGTTTGCTCGTGTTTTTTCCCCCGCCCAGCCGGACCTTGGGGATGGTGTTGGGTCTCTCACTGATGTCGGTCGGTTTCTTCTCCCTGCGATGGGATGTGTATGCGAGCGTATAACAAACGGGGATTTGTATGCAATGACTTGTTCCTTGTTCCAGTCTGTTGGTTTGACGTTCTGGTCACCATTTGTTTGTATGCCTGAGTTCAGCCAAGTAGGGTTGCTCTTGGAGTTGGGCAACGTTTGATGGCGGTTGTGTGAACCTCCGCCACGGTGCTTTACTTGGCTGTGGCTTTTCTTTCTTTTGACCCCACCCGCCCTCTCCTTTTTTTGAAGGGGATGCTTATTTGTTGCGACCTTTTAGGTAAGTTTGGGGGTGCTTGGTTTCCTCCTTTTACTACCCTTGCACGGCGGTCCGGGTCGCATTTCTCCCCACTCCAGGGCTGCAAGAGTTGAAAGTGGCGTGTCTGGTGTGCAGGGGGCAATGTACTGCTAATGTGAGTCTTGCTTCCGGTTGGGTTTGGTGCTTCACCCTTCTTAACAATTGCTAAGCACATCCCTGACCGTAGGGCTACGATCTGCTGCTGAAGGACAGCTTTGCCTGCAAGGCAAGGCAAACCACCTCCATGCAGGTGCTTACATGAATGCTTGTCAGACTTTGAGTGCAATCTGGATTTTGCATTCTTGGCCCCACCACCTTCCGCATACTTTTTGGCTTACCTCAACTTGAGCACCTGTATTGAGAACGGTCCCCAGATCTGAAGATTTCTTTACTACGATTTTGGGCTCAGGTTTGTGTCCCTGGTCCCATTTTGGATAGGGAAATTGATGCCCTTTTGGGTCGCGTATCTGGTTTTGGGCATCTTGCGCGTTCTACTTTGGACCGCAGTGCATTTCTGTGATGCGACTGGCTGTCCAGTGGATTTTTGCCCCGCCTGCCTCCATGAAACTCGGGGGAGGGGGTGTTTTTGCCCTTCGTTATTGATGTTCTGTGTTGGCCATGTTGGTGACCTGTGCAGTACAGATCTGTGGGCCTTATACCCCCAGCTTGCCAACCGGGATGTGTACGCGCGCGTACAACAAACAGGGATTTGCTTGCAATGACTTGTTCCAGTCTGTTGGTTTGACGTTCCGGTTTTGAACGCTTGAGTTCAGCCAAGTGGGGTTGCTCATGGACTTGGTTGGGCAACGTTTGATGGTGGTTGTGAACCTCCGCCACGGTGCTTTGCTTGGCCGTGTCTCTTCTTTCTTTTGACGCCGCCCAGCCTCTCCCACAAAATCTGCGCTTCGAGGTTCACAAAGTGCTGCGCCTGCCACGAAATTTGCACTTCGAGGTTCACCAAGTGGTGGCCACGAAATCTGCGCTTCGAGGTTCACCAAGTGCCGCGGCTGCCACGAAATCTGCACTTCGAGGTTCACTAAGTGCTGCGCCTGCCAGGAAATTTGCACTTCGAGGTTCACCAAGTGCTGCGCCTGCCACGAAATCTGTGCACAAGAAACAAGTGAAAATTCTAGTTACAATGCAGGGACGATTCGAGACCGATCCGAGCATGATCCGAGAATGACGCGAGGACGTTCCGTATCCG